ATGATTGAATTTTCCCATAAAAACTTATAATTGTTATGCGGAGCTTTACTAAATTAGCAAAGTGGCGTAGGGTATCAAAAAGTCGGCCCGCCCGACTTTAAGACTTTCTTTCTTGGTTATAACATACTTTATTCATACAATTCACACAATTTTTATACCCTCAGCCATATGGCTGGAGAGGGTATATATCATTTGATACGTTTCAGGATATTTGGAGTCGATCTAGCGATGTCCATCCGTCCGTCCATCTGTCTGTTTTTCCAGAAAAAAAGTTATTCGTGAAGTAATTCAAGCGTGACAGTGTGATTTCTTTATATTTGGCTGGAAACCACAAGTGGCTATCGTTGGAGTACTCCAGCATTTAAATGTGAATAAATCTTTTGTGTCTCGAACCATCGCTCGTTACCGCGATACTGGTAGCGTAGTCCGACTTCAAGAAAGTGGGCGGACGAAAACAGCCACATCAGCAGAAATGGTTCGAAAATACAGAAGCAACTTGATCGAAACCCGCGTCGCAGTGGCGGAAAATGGCTCGTGAGCTGAACATATCGCAATATACCATTCGGCAAATATTGAAAAATAAGCTCGGGGTAAAGCCATTGAAATTCCAAAGAGTGCTACAACTTACACCGCAACAGAAAGAAAATAGACTCAAAAGAGCTAAAGAGTTGCTTCGCTTGGCCGAAAGTGGTGTCCAGCAATCTGTAAAAAACAAAATGATAGTGTTTACTTGCCAAAGAGTTCACCTGAAAACCACCAGAACTCAAGCGCCGGTCATGGTGATGGTCGCTGTCCGCTCGTATTAATCGACCGTGGCCTTAGAATAAATTCCGAATATTATCGCGAAAATATTCTGGAGGGTGTATTAAATCCTTGGACACGTTAACATTTTGTCCGCAGACCTTGGACCGTGTGACGGTTTCATTGACCGGTTGAAGGCCATAATTCGTATCAAAGGTGACCAATTCGAACAAATCTAAACTTATTCTAAAATTTGATGCTATTTCCGACATTTTTTGCTTTCATTCAATAAAATGTAAAAAAAAAAACAAGTAGAAAAACATTAAGTTCGGCTGGGCCAAACCTTTAATACCCTCCACCTTAGGGTAAAGGAAACATTAGAGCCCATTATGACCCACATATACCAATTTGTAGACATATTCATGGGAAAATGTGCCAAAAATCATCAAAATACCGAATATCGGGAAATACGGCTATATGGGGCTATACAAAAACGTGGACCTATACAAAAACGTGGACCTATACATATAGTGTTTCGCCAAAAGAGCTAGAACCTGTTAAGACCAACAAATACCAATTTCTATGCCGAATATCGGCCTAAAATGCCGAATATCGGGAGGTACCGTTATATGGGTGCTATACCAAATCGTGGACCTAAATATATAATGTTTCGCCAAAGGAGTTAGAACCCATTATGACCTACAAATACCAATTTTTAGACAAATCAGTATATAGATACCGGTATATGGGGGCTATACCAAAGCGTGGACGGAAATAACTCATTTTCAATACCAACCATCGTAGACACAATACAAATTGCTCTGCTAAATGTTGGCGCTCTACGTCAAATAATGTGGGCTGTATCGTGATTTCAACAGACAGACAGACAGACGGATATCGTTAAATCGAATTTTATGCTGATTATGAATATGTATACTTTATGGGGTCTACGGATGTTACAAACGGCATGAAAAAGTTAATATACCCTCCGTTCCAAGGTGGAGGGTATAAAAATGTAAAAATTATGGCGCTTGACTTTGTTGCAGTTTTTATATCTCACCCTCTATATCTAAATATTTGTCTCAACCAGAAACCTAAGATAAATATGGCATTTTTACCCATACCAATATTTTTATCTGTGTTCATACTTCATCTGAAAATGGAATGCTTCGATCCACCATATCTAGTACCTCACGCAAATTTTAGCATTTTTTAAAAATTATCAAAAATCCCATATAAAGTGAAGGAGATAACCAATATAGTCCAAACCTGGGAGTCATATTTATTTAGGTCCGATACGAAATGGGGAATATTGGCTCATTGTTTCGGAACCTACTCCATAGATAGTCACAAATTTGAATAATCATAAAAGAAGTCAAATAGATTTAAACAATCGAAGATTAGGTGAGAATATACATCTGTCGGCAAAACCGGTGATACTTTTTAAATTGTTAAATCATTGATAATCCAGTGTTATTAATAATCCAAAAATGGCACAGGAAACTTTAAGAATTTATTTCTAAAGAAATGAAAATTAATTAATAAATAAATAAAATATTTGTAAAGTAGAATAGAGTTCGTATGCGTCAGTACACAAGATCACCGAATTGTTCACTGTGGTGTTTATGGAGGCAGGAAAATAGGTAATTTTAGAATATTTATTGTTTATTGCTAGATTTTATCAGCACCTCAACCGCACTCAAAAGTATGTACAAAGTATTTTGTACAATATTGTTCAGCAAAACCATGCAGGATGTATCCACTGTTCCTGTGCAGTTTAAGTCGAATTTAATTAGCTCGTCCCTAATTATATTACATTTTTGAATAGTATGGTAAGATTAATAAACATGTTCTTACTTTCACTATTAGCGGAGACGACAACGTCCTTCGATGTATTCTGTAAATTGCATTATAATTGGGGCCTAATATGTAATACTATTAATAATATTTCCTAACAGTGTATATTGATTTTCCCTCGAAGTGCTTTATCGATGGAAAAAAACTGCAACAAAGTCAAACGCCATAATTTTTACATTTTTTTTCTTAAATTTTATTGAATGAAAGCAAAAAATGTCGGAAATAGCATCAAATTTTAGAATAAGTTTAGATTTTTTCGTATTGGTCACCTTTGGCCCGAATAATGGCCTTCAAACGGCCGATAAAACCGTCACACGCTTTCCGCCCGAATGTTGCTCTGCGGTATTTTGGTCCATTCCCGGCGAAGCGCTTGCTGGAGGTGTTCGACACTTTGGCATTTTTTAGTGTCAACCTTGCGTTCTAAAATACTTCAGACACAATAGACTAACGGCTTGGTATCCGGAGATCGAGGTGGCCATGGTGCGCTGGAAATCATTTTATAAACAATTCTTGGGTGGCGCGTGCTGAGTGCGATGGTCTGAGCCCTGTTGGAATGTCCAAGATCTGCGGCCAAAATGTTTGCCCAAGGCTTTAATACACCCTCCAGTATATTTTCGCAATAATATCCGGCATTTATTCTGATGCCACGGTCGATCAATGCGAGCGGAGAGCGACCATCGGCTGTTATGGCGGCGCACACCATCACCATGGCCGGCGCTTGAGTTCTGGTGGCCAACCGAAGGTGCACACTTCAGCTGACCTCTGTGGCAAGTAAACACGATCATTTTGATTGCTTACAAGCTGCGGGACAACAAATGTTTTCTCATCAGAGCGGAGAAAACCAAATTTGACAGTTCACCACTTTCGGCCAAGCGAAGCAACTCTTTAGCTCTTTTGAGTCTATTTTCTTTTTGTTGCGGTGTAAGTTGTAGCACTCTTTGAAATTTCAATGGCTTTACCCCGAGCTCATTTTTCAACATTTGCCGAATGGAATGTGGCGATATGTTCAGCTCACGAGACATTTTTCGGCCACTGCGACGTTGGTTTCGATCAAGTCGCTTCTTAACTTCTCGAACCATTTCTACTGATGTTGCTGTTGACTTAGGGCTACGCTACCAGTATCACGACAACGAGCGATAGTACGAGACACAAAAGTTTTATTCACATTTAAATGTTGGAGTGCTCTAAGTATTGCCACTTGTTGTTTTGAAGCCAAATATAAAGAAATCACACTATCACGCTTGAATTCCATGACAAATAACTTTTTTTCTGGAAAAGTCTCACTAAAATGCTTTTGTACCCTTGTAAACAATATAATGAGCTCTCACTGGAATAATTTTAACAGCTGTCGGACGAATGGCTTATAAATGACAGCAGTCTGAATTTGGATGTAGTTTTTTCACCCTGTATGTTTTATCCGATTTGGTGTTCAAGTCCCTCACGTTTGTAATATGCACTCCACAACAATGATATTTGGTACCAAATATCAGATACTGTCCAGAAATACCTTTGCCAAATTTTATCGGAAATCGGCTCAGATTTTGATATATCTCCCATCTTCCACCGATTTAAGGTTAATTGTGCACAAATGGCCAATATCAGCAAAAAAAACTGAATTTTGGCACATCCGACTGAATTCAGTCTAGAAGCAAGTACGTCAAATATAGTGAAAATCGGTTCAGATATAGCTATAACTCTCATATATATGTACCATCCGATTTGGTCTTTAAGTCCCTCTTATGCGTAATATGCACGCCACAACAATGATAATTGGTACCAAATATCAGATAGAGCTTAGAAATATCTCTGCCAAATTTTAAGAAGATCGGTACAGTTTTGAATATGGCTCTCATATATATTAAACCGATTTCGGGTTAATTGTGCACCAAATGGCCAATATTTGTCCAAAAGTCCTCAATTATGGTTCACCTGACCTAATTCAGTCTGAAAGCAAGTGCATCAAATTTGGTGAAAATCGTTTCGGATAAAGCTATAGCTCCCATATATATGTTTCATCCTATTTGGTGTTCAAGTCCCCCATATTCGTAATATGCACCCTACAAGAATGATGTTTGATACCAAATATCAGATACAGTCCAGAAATACCTTTACCAAATTTTATCGGAGATCGGATCAGATTTGGATATATTTCCCATCTTCCACTGATTTAAGGTTAATTGTGCACCAAATGGCCAATATCAGAAAAAAACCTGCATTTTGGCACATCCGACCGAATTCAGTCTAGAAGCATGTACGCCAAATATGGTGAAATTCGGTTCGGGTATATCTATAGCTCCCATACATATATGTTTCATCCGATTCGGTCTTTAAGCTCTACTAAATATGCATAGTGGTGTAGGGTCACATAGTCGAACCCTCCAGGCCTCTGACTACTCCTTACTCGTTTATTATGAATTCAAAAACAAAACAAAAAATATCGCAAAATTTATCATCTATCAGGGCAAAAGTGCGACTCAGAATTCATCTAGGTAATCTGTGAAAATGCCAATACTATTCTTACTATTTGACTAGATTTTAAGATCATTACAATCGTCATTTTGATATTCATTAAACTGGTTTCTATTAAATATTGAGTATACTTTTAGGCGCATAAAAGACTGCTGCGCCTATTAATAAGAAAATATTAAATAAGAATACTCCGTCATTCCCTCCTCCCATTTAACTATTGATCCTCTTCAGCAAAGCAAAATAACTGTAAGAAGAATTGACAATCTGAAAGAGGAAAAAAACCACAAATTATAAAATGTACACAAATCCTCCTCCCCCTCCTCCTTGGATTACAACCTACCGAAGTAAAAGCCGCTAAATTAAATGTATACGTGGGATTTATCGATCTAATACGTATTGGTATATCGAAACGGGTCATCATCAACAGCGTCAATTTACGATTCATGCGATTCCAATAGACCCAATTCGAACAGTACAAATAGTAGGGAACTTCTTCACTCTTAGCCGTCACCTCACTGGGAAAATAGCAGAGAATGTAAATTTGCGACAGCATGCACAGCTGATAGATGAGGAATTTGATGAAATTGGCATAATCGCCGGGATCGGAGAGCTGTTAGAAAACAATAAACGATTGATAATATTATGATTGATTTTGAAAAAAGATTTTTTATGTTGGGATCTTTTTAAAGGTGTTTGATTTTTCATGGAAAATTCTAAAATGACAGATGTTTTTTTAAATTTTTATAGAGCAGTCCAACTTAAAATTTTAGATTCGCTCCAAAAGTTCGTGTTAGTCCTTTTTAGTACTCAAAATGCAATACTTTATACATCTTACTAAATTTCCAGACTTTCAAGGCATATGCTTTGTTCCAGTACCTGCAAGAATCAAATGGTTTTGCAATTTTCTTCGATATCATAAAGGGAAAATCGGTTATCATTCAAATTTTTCGATTTTGGGAAAAAATAATACCTTTTACACCAAAAAGTCTTAAAATCTTTCACAGTGGAGGATATTAGCAAAACCATTGCACAATTGAACCAGGTCCAATTTGTCTGCCCAAAACTATTTCAACGTCCCCATATGTAAACCTCTCCACCAGTAGTGACCTCAATTTCAAATTTCAGGATTTCAGCTCTGTAATTTCCCCCATTACAAAATTTAGTACCATCTAGTACAATAATAGTACACATAAGCAAAATCAGCTCCTTCTATAAACCACAGACAGCAAGAATGACATCCATATCAAATTTCAAATGTTAGCCCTATCTCTTCACCCAATACCATATTTATTACCTTTTAGTCCTTTTCGTACAATTACAGTATACATTTCCAAAACCACCTCCATATCTCAAGTTCAGATATCAATAGAGACTTCAATATCCAATTTTGAGGATTCCCGCTCTATCCCTTCACCCAATACCAAAATGTAGTACTATTTAGTAATTTTCGTACAAGTATAGGACCCATTTCAAACCACCGCCAAATCTGAAACACAGCTGCCATCAGCAAACTAAATATCAAATTTCAGACTTTTATTTCTATCCCTTCATTCAATATCAAAAATCACCTCCATATCTCAATTCCAAATACCATCAGAAACCTCAATATACAATTTGGGGATTCCAGACCTATCCCTTTATCCAATGCCAATTTTAGTACATATTCCTAAATCGCATCTATATCTTAATCCTAAACCCAACAGAAACCTCAAAATTGAATTTGGCGATACCAGCTCTATCCCTTCACCCAATACCATATTTAGTACCACATAGTACTTTTCGAAAAATTATAGTTCATATTTTCAAAACCACTACCATATCGTAATCACAGACACCCACAGTGACCTCAATATAAAATTTCTGAATTTCATAATAATAAATTTGAGGATTCAAGCCCTATTCATTCACCCAATATTTATGTTTTTTTATTTTTTATTTAGTACCACTTAGCACTTTTTGGACAATTATAGTACACATTTTCAAAACCACCCCCATATTTTAATTCGAGATACCAATAGAGACTTCAATATCAAATTTGAGGATTCCAGCTCTATCTCTTCGCTCAAAACCAACATTTAGTACTATTTAGCACTTTTCGTATAACTATAGGGCACATTTTCATACCACCACCAAATCACAAATACAGATAATTTTAATATCAAATTTCAGAATTGTATCTCTATCCCTTCATCCGATACCAAATATAGTACCATTCAGTACTTTCCGTATAATTAAAGTATATATTTCCGAAACTACCTCTATATGACCAGGCTACACATGAAAAGCGACTCTAATACCAAATTTTAGATTTCAAGCACTATTTGTTCAACCAATACTAAATTGTACCAAATATAGTACTATTTAGTACTTTTCTTACAAATATGATATACATGTTCAAAACCACCTCCTTCTCTAAGCCACAGACACCAACAGAGACTTCAATATCAAATTTGATGACTTCATTCCTTTCCCTTCACCCAATACCAAACTTAGTACTATTTAGTACTTTTCGTACAATTATAGGGTAGATTTCCATACCACTGCCAAATCACAAATACAGATACCATCCGTAATTTTAATATCAAATTTCAGAATTTTTTCTCTATCCTTTCACCCAATACCATAAATAGTACAATTCTGTACTTTTCGTACAATTAAAGTACATATTTCCGAAACTACCTCTATATGACCAGGCTACACATGAACTGCCACCGCAATATCAGTTTTCAAATTCACCCAATATCAAATTGTACCAAATATAGTACTATTTGGTACTTTTCCTACAATTATGGTACACATGTCCAAAACCACATCCTTCTCTCAACCACAGACACCAACAGAGACTTTAATCTCAAATTTGATGTTTTCATTCCTTTCCCTTCATCTAATACCAAACTTAGTACCATTGAGAACTTTTCATACAATTATAGTACACACTTCCGAAACCACCTCCATATGTCCAGGCACACATGAACTGCGGCCGCAATACCAGATTTCAGATTTCAAGCACTATATGTTCACCCAATATCAAATTATACCAAATATAGTACTATTTAGTACATTTCGTGCACTTGTGGTACACATTTCCAAAACCAACTCTTTATTCACAAACCTATTACCAATAGGAACACCAATACAAAATTTTAAAATTATAGCTTCTGAACTATCATCAGTGACTGAACTTCATCAGTGACTGTCATTCCAAATTTCAGAATTGTAGCTCATTCCGTTTGTCCTATACAAGGTATTAAATTATTAGCACATTTTAGTACTCTTTGTATTATTTTAGAACGAATTTCCAAAATATCTTATCACACGCCTATGGACCAAGACTGACCCTCGTAAAAAATATTAAGATTCTAGGTTCTTCTGGCCATTGATTCTCAGTCAGTCTCAGTTATTTATTCCGCTACCCTTTGATATACATCGATACAAGTAACTGGTGGCGTATGATGAATATTCTTGACCCTTCGAATAAAATGTATTCCTCATACGCCACCTTGTACCATATTTGCTACTTACAAACGACATGGCATAGAAATTGGCTACCAACACCAGCACCGAACAGGCAATTTGTATGGATATTGGAAAACTTATTAAATTCTCTGCTATGCGAACAATATGAATGATATCTCCATAATATTTTACACAATTTTTCAACTGCCTCGTAATATCCTCATCCCTGCTCTCCTGATCCATTCCCAAATGTTCCAAACGATCGCAAAGTATATCCAACTGACCCTTGATATGGATCATAAACGAAGCGGAAATTGAATCAAAGGCAATATTCATGTAACAACAAATCGATACGGCAACATACTGATACAGATACATTAAACGATAACGTAGCTTGGTGTCAATATTGATGGGATTGTAAAGCGACAGGGGTAATTCGGAATTATCGAAGATGTACTGAGTCAGCATTACCACATTGAGGGCACACAACGATATGACCAAATAAAAGTTACGAACGGTGCCACACAGACGATGTGTCTGACGGAAAATCTTCACCTCTCGACTATTGACCGGCCGATATGCTGGCTCATGGATGGTCTCAATCAATTCAGCATAGAGATGATTTTTCAATTTAATTGTTGCAAATTTCGCAAACACCGCCAACGAGGTGGCAAAAATGAAAAACACCTTGATAACTTCATTCAGATCCGTAATGTTGGCAATAAATTGTATCATGCAGCTGGCATCGAAGGACAACACCCAAAAGAAGAGTATGTAATAGAAATAGAAACGATGCAGCAGGCGAAAACGTTCCGTAACCGTATCTGGGAGTTTCCACAAAGCCAGCAGACGAAAAACATACGATTGTTTTTTATAGAATATTTCCAATAACTCACGATGTTCGCGGGAGTTCATGGCAATTTGCGTTTATTATTCTTTGTTCGAGAGAAAACGTGTTGCCTACTTTATGGCAAATATCCGCTGAATATTTTTAATTAGCTTCAATGTTGTGGTATTTATATGAAAAAATTTTATTAGTTAATAATTTTGTGGGGTTAGATTTTAATGAGAATTTATTTACCGTCATTAGCAATTAAATAACAGAGGATACTGTGGGTTGAAAGCAATCCATCATTAAATCGATATTTTCAGGGAACTACAGAACTAAATTAGTCTCAATGTAAGACTACATTTTGCGCATTTATGTTAAGCCTTTTTATACCCTATACCACAAGGTGGTCAGGTCTTTGTGCATTTGTTTGTAACAGGCAAAAGGAAAAGTGATAGACCCATAGTTCCTTTTGATGATGTGCATAGAATCACATTCTGAGTCGATTTATGCATGTCAGTCCGTCCGTCTGCCCATGTATTTTTGTAAACAAAGTACAGTTCGCATTTATTGCCCGATCCAGATGAAATTTTGCACAGATCAGTTGTTTGGCCAAGGACGAACCCTATTGAAATTGGAGATAATCGGTCAAAATTTAGATATAGCTTCCATATATATCTTCGTCAGATTTGCCTTTTATTGTGCACTAAAGGTGTAATATCTGTCCGAATAGTATGGAATTTTGCACATACAACCAAATTAGGCCTGAAAATAAGTATGATGAAATTGAAATCGGTTCAGATATAGCTATAGCTCCCATATATATTGTTCATCCGATTTGTTATTTTTGTCCTCCGCAGCCGTAATATGCACTCTGCAACAACAATATTTGGGGAAATATATCAAATACAGCCCAGAAATACATGTGCCAAATTTTATCGAGATCGGTTCAGATAAGGATATAGCTCCCATATATAACTTCGTCCAATTTAACTTATATTGTGCACTAAACGTCTAATATTTGTCCAAATGGGATGGAATTTGGCACTTAGGATTTAGTCTAGAAGCTAGTGTGTCAAATTTGGTGAAGATCGGTTCAGATATAGCTATAGCTCCCATATATACTGTTCATCCGATTTGTTATATTTGTTACCCACAGCCGTAATATGCACTCCGTAACAACGATATTCAGGGAAATATATCAAATACAGCTCCGAAATATCTTTGCGAAATTTTATGGAGATCGGTTCCGATTTGGATATAGCTGCCATATATATATTTATCCGATTTCAAATTAATTGTGCACCAAATGGGCAATACAAGTCCGAATTTAAAAGATACAAATGCTTCGGCATATTTAGTCCTTTGAACTTTAAATTATAATTATAGCGTGTATGATTGAATTTTCCCATAAAAACTTATAATTGTTATGCGGAGCTTTACTAAATTAGCAAAGTGGCGTAGGGTATCAAAAAGTCGGCCCGCCCGACTTTAAGACTTTCTTTCTTGGTTATAACATACTTTATTCATACAATTCACACAATTTTTATACCCTCAGCCATATGGCTGGAGAGGGTATATATCATTTGATACGTTTCAGGATATTTGGAGTCGATCTAGCGATGTCCATCCGTCCGTCCATCTGTCTGTTTTTCCAGAAAAAAAGTTATTCGTGAAGTAATTCAAGCGTGACAGTGTGATTTCTTTATATTTGGCTGGAAACCACAAGTGGCTATCGTTGGAGTACTCCAGCATTTAAATGTGAATAAATCTTTTGTGTCTCGAACCATCGCTCGTTACCGCGATACTGGTAGCGTAGTCCGACTTCAAGAAAGTGGGCGGACGAAAACAGCCACATCAGCAGAAATGGTTCGAAAATACAGAAGCAACTTGATCGAAACCCGCGTCGCAGTGGCGGAAAATGGCTCGTGAGCTGAACATATCGCAATATACCATTCGGCAAATATTGAAAAATAAGCTCGGGGTAAAGCCATTGAAATTCCAAAGAGTGCTACAACTTACACCGCAACAGAAAGAAAATAGACTCAAAAGAGCTAAAGAGTTGCTTCGCTTGGCCGAAAGTGGTGTCCAGCAATCTGTAAAAAACAAAATGATAGTGTTTACTTGCCAAAGAGTTCACCTGAAAACCACCAGAACTCAAGCGCCGGTCATGGTGATGGTCGCTGTCCGCTCGTATTAATCGACCGTGGCCTTAGAATAAATTCCGAATATTATCGCGAAAATATTCTGGAGGGTGTATTAAATCCTTGGACACGTTAACATTTTGTCCGCAGACCTTGGACCGTGTGACGGTTTCATTGACCGGTTGAAGGCCATAATTCGTATCAAAGGTGACCAATTCGAACAAATCTAAACTTATTCTAAAATTTGATGCTATTTCCGACATTTTTTGCTTTCATTCAATAAAATGTAAAAAAAAAACAAGTAGAAAAACATTAAGTTCGGCCGGGCCAAACCTTTAATACCCTCCACCTTAGGGTAAAGGAAACATTAGAGCCCATTATGACCCACATATACCAATTTGTAGACATATTCATGGGAAAATGTGCCAAAAATCATCAAAATACCGAATATCGGGAAATACGGCTATATGGGGCTATACAAAAACGTGGACCTATACAAAAACGTGGACCTATACATATAGTGTTTCGCCAAAAGAGCTAGAACCTGTTAAGACCAACAAATACCAATTTCTATGCCGAATATCGGCCTAAAATGCCGAATATCGGGAGGTACCGTTATATGGGTGCTATACCAAATCGTGGACCTAAATATATAATGTTTCGCCAAAGGAGTTAGAACCCATTATGACCTACAAATACCAATTTTTAGACAAATCAGTATATAGATACCGGTATATGGGGGCTATACCAAAGCGTGGACGGAAATAACTCATTTTCAATACCAACCATCGTAGACACAATACAAATTGCTCTGCTAAATGTTGGCGCTCTACGTCAAATAATGTGGGCTGTATCGTGATTTCAACAGACAGACAGACAGACGGATATCGTTAAATCGAATTTTATGCTGATTATGAATATGTATACTTTATGGGGTCTACGGATGTTACAAACGGCATGAAAAAGTTAATATACCCTCCGTTCCAAGGTGGAGGGTATAAAAATGTAAAAATTATGGCGCTTGACTTTGTTGCAGTTTTTATATCTCACCCTCTATATCTAAATATTTGTCTCAACCAGAAACCTAAGATAAATATGGCATTTTTACCCATACCAATATTTTTATCTGTGTTCATACTTCATCTGAAAATGGAATGCTTCGATCCACCATATCTAGTACCTCACGCAAATTTTAGCATTTTTTAAAAATTATCAAAAATCCCATATAAAGTGAAGGAGATAACCAATATAGTCCAAACCTGGGAGTCATATTTATTTAGGTCCGATACGAAATGGGGAATATTGGCTCATTGTTTCGGAACCTACTCCATAGATAGTCACAAATTTGAATAATCATAAAAGAAGTCAAATAGATTTAAACAATCGAAGATTAGGTGAGAATATACATCTGTCGGCAAAACCGGTGATACTTTTTAAATTGTTAAATCATTGATAATCCAGTGTTATTAATAATCCAAAAATGGCACAGGAAACTTTAAGAATTTATTTCTAAAGAAATGAAAATTAATTAATAAATAAATAAAATATTTGTAAAGTAGAATAGAGTTCGTATGCGTCAGTACACAAGATCACCGAATTGTTCACTGTGGTGTTTATGGAGGCAGGAAAATAGGTAATTTTAGAATATTTATTGTTTATTGCTAGATTTTATCAGCACCTCAACCGCACTCAAAAGTATGTACAAAGTATTTTGTACAATATTGTTCAGCAAAACCATGCAGGATGTATCCACTGTTCCTGTGCAGTTTAAGTCGAATTTAATTAGCTCGTCCCTAATTATATTACATTTTTGAATAGTATGGTAAGATTAATAAACATGTTCTTACTTTCACTATTAGCGGAGACGACAACGTCCTTCGATGTATTCTGTAAATTGCATTATAATTGGGGTCTAATATGTAATACTATTAATAATATTTCCTAACAGTGTATATTGATTTTCCCTCGAAGTGCTTTATCGATGGAAAAAAACTGCAACAAAGTCAAACGCCATAATTTTTACATTTTTTTTCTTAAATTTTATTGAATGAAAGCAAAAAATGTCGGAAATAGCATCAAATTTTAGAATAAGTTTAGATTTTTTCGTATTGGTCACCTTTGGCCCGAATAATGGCCTTCAAACGGCCGATAAAACCGTCACACGCTTTCCGCCCGAATGTTGCTCTGCGGTATTTTGGTCCATTCCCGGCGAAGCGCTTGCTGGAGGTGTTCGACACTTTGGCATTTTTTAGTGTCAACCTTGCTTTCTAAAATACTTCAGACACAATAGACTAACGGCTTGGTATCCGGAGATCGAGGTGGCCATTGTGCGCTGCAAATGAAGCGAGGAACCTCATTTTGTAACCATTCTTTGGTGGAGCGTGCTGGGTGCGATGATGCTGATTGCTGTTGGAATGTCCTAGGTCTGCGGCCAAAATGTTTGCACGCCCAAGGCTTTAATACACCCTCCAGAATATTTTCGCGATAATATTCGCCATTAATTCTAATGCCACGGTCGATTAATACGATCGATAATACGACCATCACCATGACCGGCGCTTGAGTTCTGGTGGCCAACCGAAGGTGCATATTTTCAGCTGACTTCTTTGGCAAGTAATCGTTTGATCGATCGTTTTGTTTGTTTACAAACTGCTGAACAACGAATGTTTTCTCATCGGAGAAAACCTAATTCGGCAGTTCACCACTTAAGGCCAAGCGAAGCAACTCTTTAACTCCATTGAGTCTATTTTAATTCGGTTGCGATGTAAGTTCTTGCACTTTACCCTGAGCTCAGTTGGCTTTACCCTGAGCTCAGTTTTCAATATTTGCCGAATGGCATATTGCGGTATGTTTAGCTTACGAGCCATTTTTTCGGCCACTGCGACGCGGGTCTCGATCAAGTCGCTTCTTTACTTTTCGAACCATTTATGCTGATGTTGCTGTTTTCTCCCGTCCATTTCCTTGACGTCGGGCTACGCTACCAGTATCACGGTAACGAGCGATGTTACGAGACACAAAATATTTATTCACATTTAAATGTTGGAGTGCTCTAACCATAGCCACTTGTGGTTTTCCAGCCAAATATAAAGAAATCACACTTCAAGCTTGAATTCCATCACGAATAACTATTTTTTTTCTGGAAAATTCTCACCAAAATGCTTTTGTACGCTTGTAAACAATATAATGAGCTGTCACTGGAATAATTTTAACAGCTGTCGGACGAGTGGCTTTAAAATGACAGCATTCTGAAGTTGGTTGCAGTTTTTCATCTCACCCTGTATGTTATTCACCAAACACGATATGCATGTCCGATTCCAATGAAATTCAGAGTATGTGGCGGAATTTTTTTACAATAATAGATTTGACAAATTAATTAGAAATTGGTTAAGATTTGGATATAGCTCCCATATATATTTTGAAATCGGTTCAGATTGGGATATGATTTTATTAAGAAGCATTGGCACACAACGCCTTTGCAATGGTATTATGCTTACAGTAAAAAAACTACACAACAATTCAATTGAGGATACGATTTTTACAGGGAAGTATGTGGCTACCTCGAATTTTTTAATTGCAACAGAAGTACCATTCAACTTCAAAAGATTGTAGTTTCCAGCACGCTTGGCATTTGCTATGAAATTAATAAATCCAAAGGACAAACCCTTCGTGTATGTGGACTAAGTTTGCTTTTCACTGCTGTAATATTTATATCAGACTAAAGCTGGGAATACATAAAGCGCTTATTTGGCTGGCTTAAGTCATCGGCTGGCTTCTTCGGAAATGAACAAAGGAGCCTAGGGCCAAAATCGAACTAGGTCAACCTAAAACTCCTTTGTTCATCTACGAAGAAGTCAGCCGATGACTTAAGCCAGCCAAATATGCGCTTTATGTATTCCCAGCTTTAGTCTGATATAAATATTACAACAGTGAAAAGCAAACTTAGTCCACATACACGAAGGGTTTGTCCTTTGGATTTATTAATTTCATAGCAAATGCCAAGCGTGCTGGAAACTACAATCTTTTGAAGTTGAATGGCACTTCTGTTGCAATTAAAAAATTCGAGGTAGCCACATACTTCCCAGTAAAAATCGTATCCTCAATTGAATTGTTGTGTAGTTTTTTACTGTAAGCCTAATACCATTGCAAAGGCGTTGTGTGCCAATGCTTCTTAATAAAATCATATCCCAATCTGAACCGATTTCAAAATATATATGGGAGCTATATCCAAATCTTAACCAATTTCTAATTAATTTGTCAAATCTATTATTGTAAAAAATTTCCAGCCTAAGGCCAAAGTGAAGCTTTATGGCTCGATTATGCATTGCCACCAAACTCGGGTTGCGTTATCAGTTGTCAGCGCGACTGAAATAAAATGTTGTATTATAGAAGGCAACCCAATTGAGTTGTCGATAAACGTGTTATCGATTAGTGTATTTTCCATCTTGTGAACCCTAAACTTCAAAAATGTCAATTAATTCGAAATAACAAAACACAATTTAAACAATAAAAGAATTTTAAAATGATAAGTTCAGTGGAATTATTTTTTGATGAAGAAGAAAATGTTCAGGACGTTGTATCTATTCGACGAAGCTTGAGAGATAATTCAAATCCGTTGGAATTGCCATCGGTGCTGTAAGTATATGTCATGTTGGAATGGTCTGAATAATCATGTAACTATTTCAGGTTTAAGGCGTATTTTCGGCTTCCAAAAGATGCCGTAGTATACATAGTGGAGACTCTTAAATATGACTTCAAAGTATGCTAAAGATCAACAGCAATTCCTCCACTTTTAAAATTTGTGCTGCTCTGAGGTTTTTTGCGGAGGGAAGTTTCCAAAAGTCCCATGGAAATGATTACAACAATTGTATGGCTCAACCCACATTCTCGAACGTCCCCAGCGAAGTAGTGCACTTCATAGAGTACAAATTGTGTAAACTTTGGATTGTTTCGAAGTTAACGGAGGAAGAGAAAAGACTAATAAATAAAAACTACTTTTACCCAAAACGAAATTTCCTGGCGTTGTGGGCTGTATAGATGGAACACACGTACACATCCAGGATCCATACTCTCTGCCATTCTTCTGGTGTCCTTGTTGGTGGACCATGACTGTTTAGGTTGTCGGAAATTTTCTTCCACGCTTCATCTGCAGTGGCTTTAATTTCACCAAAGACATGTATTCCTCGAGCTAAGTTTGGATTAGCACCCATTTTTTTCTATAAGTATTTCGAACTGATGTTTTGTTGTCACTTTCACCATATTTAATCTAAAATGATATGCAAAATGATTTAGTGAAGCTAAAAAGTCAATAATTGTTAAGAAAATGTGTATTTACCTCTCAATTTTACTTTTTCTTCTTTGAAAACGTTCACTGCAACTGCAAATAGATGGTTGCTCAAATATGGCCGCTGTAGCAACTGAAATTCGCAAATTCAGTTGAAAGTTGCCATACATAATGCAATCTTCGCAACTGGCAACGCCACTCAACGATAGTTGTTATCGATAATCGGGTCATTAAATTTTCTAATATTTGATCATAATTTATTTTTTTATTTTAGACAAAAATACTGATTATCTACAATTATTGAATTTAAATCCTCTTATAGAAAAAAATACTTGACATATCAATACCAAACTTCAGGTTAATTCTAATTGATATGTTACCAGTCAATTCAGTATGTTTTTTGCTACCATTCACTTGATTTTCACAGATTTTGGCCACGGTCGTGACACTATGCGCCATCAACTCCGCTTAACTATTGATACGTTTCAGGAGAGCAAAATAGCTGTAGGACGAATTGACAATCTGCAATGAGAAGAAACAATTATTTATGTACTCTTCATTTCTCTCACACACACATACGCATGTACTTACCGCAGTGAATGCAGCCAAATTAAATGAATAGCAGCGATTGATCGATTTAATACTAATCGGTGTATCGAAACGTATCATCATCAGCAGCACCAATTTTCGATTGACTTTGTCCCAATCATACCAGTTCGATTCGTATAGGTTAAATGATATATCCGAACTTTTCAGTGAAACTTCGTTGGCAAAATAGCAGAGAATAAAGATTTGTGTCAGCATGCATGTCTGATAGAGTAACAGCTTGGCGAAAATTCCCATGTCCGCATTGTCTGAAAGCTAAGGGAAGAGTATTTTGAAATACTGACAACGGAAATCTTTGGTGGGTATTCCTATTCAGTAAAAACTTATCAAGGTTAAAAAGACTACTTTTGACAACAATTTGACAATGGACTTGGTACAAGGTGGCGCAAAAGTAAACTTCAGGTGTTTTTTTTGGCTGTAACTTAAAAAAATTTAATGAAAAACTTTGATTCTTCTTGTGCATTGTTATACCCTCCACCGTAATATGTCTAATATACATTTTAGACCCCACAAAGTATATAAATTCTTGATCAGCATCAAAAATGTCCGTCCGTCTGTGGAATTCACTTTAGCTTCCGATCGAAATGAAGTACGTTTATAAAATTCTACTCAAATGTATATTATGTCTGCAGGATTTGTTGTTTTAAAAATGGACCTTGGTATAATGGCACCTCCCTATTATCAGTATTTTGGTGATTTAAGCGACATTATTCTCCCGAAATATTTCAAATTTCGTATTTGCAGCTCGTAATGGATACTACAGCCTATGACAGATTCACCGATTTTTTATACCCTCCACCATAGCATGGGGGGAAATATTAAATTTGTCATTCCGTTTGGAACAACTCGAAATATACATTTTAGACCCCACAAAGTATTTATATTCTTGATCAGCATCAAATTCTATGTCGATTTAGCGATGTTCGTCCGTCTGTCCATCTGTGGAAATCACTCTAACTTCCGAACAAAATGAAGTAGGTTGATAAAATTTTACTCAAATGTATATTAAGTCAGCAGGACTTTTGGTATTGAAAATGGACTTTGTTGGTCCGCGTTTTGATATAGCCCCCATATAATGGTACCTTCCTATTATCGGTATTTTGATGATTTAAGCGACATTATTTACCGGAAATGTTTCAAATTTGGTATTTGTAGTTCGTAATGGATGCTACACCCTAAGACAGATTATGGGCCATGTAGGTCCACGTCTTCGAATAGGCCCCATATAACGGCACCTCCCGTTATTCGGTATTTTGATGATTTTAGCGAAATTATTTACCGGAATTGTTTCAAAGTTGGTATTTAAAGGTCGTAATAGATACCTCGGCTTAAGACAGAAAATGGGCCATGTAGGTCCACGTCTTCGTATAGCCGCCATATAACCGTAACCCCGATATTCGGTATTTTGATGATTTTAGCGAAATTATTTTCCGGAATCGTTTCAAATTTGGTACTTGAAGTTCGTAATAGATACTACGGCTTAAGACAGAAAATGGGCCATATAGGTCCACGTCTTCGTACAGCCCCCATATAACGGTACCACCCGATATTGGGTATTTTGATGATTTTAGAGGCATTATACACCGGAATTGTCAAATTTGGTATTTGAAGTTCGTAATGAATACTACAGCCTATGAGAGAAAATTGTCTGTACAGGTCTACGTCTTCGTATAGCCTCCATATAACGGTACCTCCCGATATTGGGTATTTTCATGATTTTAGAGACATTCTTTACCGAAACTATTTCAAATTTAGTATTTGAAGTTCGTAATGGGTACTATAGCCTATGCCAGAAAATTGTCTGTGCAGGTCCACGTTTTATAACTCCCATGGTACCTCCCGATGTTCGGTATTTTGATGATTTTAGCTACATTATAAACATATTTTTTTTTAAGTTTCGCATTTGAATATTGTAATGGCTTGTGACAAAAGTTGCCTATACAGGTCCACGTCGTCGTATAGACCCTAATATACGGCTACATTCGGTATTTTTAAGATTTTAACAGAATTTTTAACGAATTTTATTTTTTAGAAAATTGTCAGAATTGTACTAAATGGTGGAAGGTATTCAAAGTCCGGCCCGGCCGAACTTACTGCTTTTTTACTTGTTTTTTTTATTTCAAATTTCGCATTTGAAAATTGCAATGGCTTATGACAGAAGTTGCCTACGTAGGTCCACGTCGTCGTATTGACCCTAATATAACGGCTACGTTCGCTATTTTTATTTTGAGCCCTTTTTATGGCATTTTACATCTCTTTGTTCCAAACTACCGGCGATAGGTCTCATATTCTTGACGGATATTGTCCTTAAGAGCTGAAGAAGTCTAAGGCTTGTTGACATATATCCGCGATCTTGTTCGCCAGTGCAAATCGCCACAACGGGAGATTAGGCGCCCTGGAACAACATCCTTCAATATTTCCATCAACACAAGATCTGTTATAAAGATGATAGAGATTGGACAATTTCTTTTGCTAACTGCCCATAGGATTCACAGCATCTAACAGCTTATGCACCTTCTGGATTTTGTAGGGAAACATGTTCAAAATTTAGTTTAAAAACCGTCGACTGATACCCATTTGCGTGGCACGTCGTCTGGTCGATGTCGACGGCGATTCCATGACATTCTCTGCAGAACGGATACTCCGGATCGTTTGCCGTGCCAGTTTCTTCAAGGTGAACTGTTAAACGTCGCAGTGTTTCACCGTAGCCGTTGGACGGCCAGGAAATATGCGACGAAATTCACGTTGTGCCAAAGTCACCGACTTATTATTGGTCAAATAAATAGTCACCAATATTCCGCGTTCTGGAGCATGTGTGGAAACAAAATTGACATTACGTACCAATCGTAAAATGTATAGCATTTTCCGATAGGAGAATTTGATTTTCAAACCGCAATATGGCTATTGACTTGAAATTGAATCTTAGTTATCAGGTGGTCTTACTAGCCGACCTTATATAGGCCATGAAACTTATTTCATGGGTCCTTAAAATGAAATCAAGCGTTGGAAAAAAACTTACCATTGACATTGAATAGAAGTTTGCAATCAACACAAATACCGAACCACCGATTTGTACGGACATTGGTATGCGGACCAATTCCTCCATCAAATGAGTCATTCGCAAAATACGCTGATAGTTACGGATGCAATCTTTCAACTTCTTCAAAATCCTCCGCTGATCCCTTACGCCCACACCAATCGTTTGCAAGCGCATACCCAAAACATCCAGCTGTCCCTTAATGTTGATGAAAAACGATGCGGTCAACGAATCGAAGCCGACATTGACGAAACACAAAATGGCCAATGACACACACTGATAGACATACATTAAACCATATTTCCAATTCGTATTCAATTGAAACGGATAATAAATCGATGCCGGCAATTCCTGCTCATCGCCAAGAAATTGGCTCAAAAACAAAGCACTCAAGGCCGAAACCGATAACGAAGCATAGTAGTTGCGTACCCGACGACTTAAGTCAATAGCTTGGCAATAGATTTGCCATTCTGTGGGATTTTCGGGTAGATATTCCGGCTGGTGCATCATTTGAAATAGTTGCTCAAAACGGTAGTTGTAGATCTTCAGATAGAGATATTTGCCCATTACCGCAAAGGCCGTGGCAAAAATGATGAAAACTTTAATAACCTCGTCAACATCTCCCAGATGAGTTGCAATTTGCAGAATCATACAGCAATCGAGCAGCAACATCCAAAAGATTAAAAAACACCAGAAAAAGATACGATATCCCAACCGCTGATAAGCGGATGCATCCTCTGGCAACTGCCACAGAGCGAAAAGCTTCAAAAGCTGATACTGCCTGATGTAAAATGTCCGAATGAGTTCCCTTTTGTGGTGAAACATGACGCAATTCAATGGCTAACTTTTAAATGCCTAAGGTCTACTGAAGGACAAGGGTTTTTATGGCGTTTGCCGTTCAATGCTTTTCTCCTAATGACCCAGTGATTCCTGGATGATATCCTTCTATAAACACGTAATTAAGTAATTACTCGTAATTTGCAAGGCTGGAAGCCGTTAATCATTCCGCACTTAATTATTAAGGGCTTGGCTACCATGGATGGTAAGGGGCAAATGCAAATTAAATGGGCGGAACATATGTATGTATGGATGTTCATAAGAATTAAAATGCAGTAAAATATACCTATCATGTCAACATTTAAAGAGTTATGGCCATTTTTAAAAACTGCAATTTTAAACCTGCTAAAAACCCCGAAATGTTAATATTTAAGGAGTTATGGCCGTTTTAAAGTAGGCTATTCTCCGTTTGTAAGAAACTGCAATTTAAAACATGCTAAAAACCCCGAAATGTTAATATTTACGGAGTTATGAGCGTTTTAAAATAGCCTATTTTTCCTCTTTCAATAACTGCGATTAAAATGATGCTAAAAACCCCGAAATGTGAGCGTTTTAAAATAGCCTATTTTTCCTCTTTCAATAACTGCGATTAAAATGATGCTAAAAACCCCGAAATGTTAATATTTACGGAGTTATGAGCGTTTTAAAATAGCCTATTTTTCCTCTTTCAATAACTGCAGTTAAAATGATGCAGTTAAAATGATGCTAAAAACCCCGAAATGTTAATATTTACGGAGTTATGAGCGTTTTAAAATAGCCTATTTTTCCTCTTTCAATAACTGCAGTTAAAATGATGCTAAAAACCCCGAAATGTTAATATTTACGGAGTTATGAGCGTTTTAAAATAGCCTATTTTTCCTCTTTCAATAACTGCAGTTAAAATGATGCAGTTAAAATGATGCTAAAAACCCCGAAATGTTAATATTTACGGAGTTATGAGCGTTTTAAAATAGCCTATTTTTCCTCTTTCAATAACTGCAGTTAAAATGATGCTAAAAACCCCGAAATGTTAATATTTACGGAGTTATGAGCGTTTTAAAATAGCCTATTTTTCTTCTTTTAATAACTGCAGTTAAAATGATGCTAAAAACCCCGAAATGTTAATATTTACGGAGTTATGAGCGTTTTAAAATAGCCTATTTTTCCTCTTTCAATAACTGCAGTTAAAATGATGCAGTTAAAATGATGCTAAAAACCCCGAAATGTTAATATTTACGGAGTTATGAGCGTTTTAAAATAGCCTATTTTTCCTCTTTCAATAACTGCAGTTAAAATGATGCAGTTAAAATGATGCTAAAAACCCCGAAATGTTAATATTTACGGAGTTATGAGCGTTTTAAAATAGCCTATTTTTCCTCTTTCAATAACTGCAGTTAAAATGATGCTAAAAACCCCGAAATGTTAATATTTACGGAGTTATGAGCGTTTTAAAATAGCCTATTTTTCCTCTTTCAATAACTGCAGTTAAAATGATGCAGTTAAAATGATGCTAAAAACCCCGAAATGTTAATATTTACGGAGTTATGAGCGTTTTAAAATAGCCTATTTTTCCTCTTTCAATAACTGCAGTTAAAATGATGCTAAAAACCCCGAAATGTTAATATTTACGGAGTTATGAGCGTTTTAAAATAGCCTATTTTTCTTCTTTTAATAACTGCAGTTAAAATGATGCTAAAAACCCCGAAATGTTAATATTTACGGAGTTATGAGCGTTTTAAAATAGCCTATTTTTCCTCTTTCAATAACTGCAGTTAAAATGATGCAGTTAAAATGATGCTAAAAACCCCGAAATGTTAATATTTACGGAGTTATGAGCGTTTTAAAATAGCCTATTTTTCCTCTTTCAATAACTGCAGTTAAAATGATGCAGTTAAAATGATGCTAAAAACCCCGAAATGTTAATATTTACGGAGTTATGAGCGTTTTAAAATAGCCTATTTTTCCTCTTTCAATAACTGCAGTTAAAATGATGCTAAAAACCCCGAAATGTTAATATTTACGGAGTTATGAGCGTTTTAAAATAGCCTATTTTTCCTCTTTCAATAACTGCAGTTAAAATGATGCAGTTAAAATGATGCTAAAAACCCCGAAATGTTAATATTTACGGAGTTATGAGCGTTTTAAAATAGCCTATTTTTCCTCTTTCAATAACTGCAGTTAAAATGATGCTAAAAACCCCGAAATGTTAATATTTACGGAGTTATGAGCGTTTTAAAATAGCCTATTTTTCCTCTTTCAATAACTGCAGTTAAAATGATGCAGTTAAAATGATGCTAAAAACCCCGAAATGTTAATATTTACGGAGTTATGAGCGTTTTAAAATAGCCTATTTTTCCTCTTTCAATAACTGCAGTTAAAATGATGCTAAAAACCCCGAAATGTTAATATTTACGGAGTTATGAGCGTTTTAAAATAGCCTATTTTTCTTCTTTTAATAACTGCAGTTAAAATGATGCTAAAAACCCCGAAATGTTAATATTTACGGAGTTATGAGCGTTTTAAAATAGCCTATTTTTCCTCTTTCAATAACTGCAGTTAAAATGATGCAGTTAAAATGATGCTAAAAACCCCGAAATGTTAATATTTACGGAGTTATGAGCGTTTTAAAATAGCCTATTTTTCCTCTTTCAATAACTGCAGTTAAAATGATGCAGTTAAAATGATGCTAAAAACCCCGAAATGTTAATATTTACGGAGTTATGAGCGTTTTAAAATAGCCTATTTTTCCTCTTTCAATAACTGCAGTTAAAATGATGCTAAAAACCCCGAAATGTTAATATTTACGGAGTTATGAGCGTTTTAAAATAGCCTATTTTTCCTCTTTCAATAACTGCAGTTAAAATGATGCAGTTAAAATGATGCTAAAAACCCCGAAATGTTAATATTTACGGAGTTATGAGCGTTTTAAAATAGCCTATTTTTCCTCTTTCAATAACTGCAGTTAAAATGATGCAGTTAAAATGATGCTAAAAACCCCGAAATGTTAATATTTACGGAGTTATGAGCGTTTTAAAATAGCCTATTTTTCCTCTTTCAATAACTGCAGTTAAAATGATGCTAAAAACCCCGAAATGTTAATATTTACGGAGTTATGAGCGTTTTAAAATAGCCTATTTTTCCTCTTTCAATAACTGCAGTTAAAATGATGCAGTTAAAATGATGCTAAAAACCCCGAAATGTTAATATTTACGGAGTTATGAGCGTTTTAAAATAGCCTATTTTTCCTCTTTCAATAACTGCAGTTAAAATGATGCAGTTAAAATGATGCTAAAAACCCCGAAATGTTAATATTTACGGAGTTATGAGCGTTTTAAAATAGCCTATTTTTCCTCTTTCAATAACTGCAGTTAAAATGATGCTAAAAACCCCGAAATGTTAATATTTACGGAGTTATGAGCGTTTTAAAATAGCCTATTTTTCTTCTTTTAATAACTGCAGTTAAAATGATGCTAAAAACCCCGAAATGTTAATATTTACGGAGTTATGAGCGTTTTAAAATAGCCTATTTTTCCTCTTTCAATAACTGCAGTTAAAATGATGCAGTTAAAATGATGCTAAAAACCCCGAAATGTTAATATTTACGGAGTTATGAGCGTTTTAAAATAGCCTATTTTTCCTCTTTCAATAACTGCAGTTAAAATGATGCAGTTAAAATGATGCTAAAAACCCCGAAATGTTAATATTTACGGAGTTATGAGCGTTTTAAAATAGCCTATTTTTCCTCTTTCAATAACTGCAGTTAAAATGATGCTAAAAACCCCGAAATGTTAATATTTACGGAGTTATGAGCGTTTTAAAATAGCCTATTTTTCCTCTTTCAATAACTGCAGTTAAAATGATGCAGTTAAAATGATGCTAAAAACCCCGAAATGTTAATATTTACGGAGTTATGAGCGTTTTAAAATAGCCTATTTTTCCTCTTTCAATAACTGCAGTTAAAATGATGCTAAAAACCCCGAAATGTTAATATTTACGGGGTTATGAGCGTTTTAAAATAGCCTATTTTTCCTCTTTCAATAACTGCGATTAAAATGATGCTAAAAACCCCGAAATGTTAATATTTACGGAGTTATGAGCGTTTTAAAATAGCCTATTTTCTTCTTTTAATAACTGAAGTTAAAATGATGCTAAAAACCCCGAAATGTTAATATTTACGGAGTTATGAGCGTTTTAAAATAGCCTATTTTCTTCTTTTAATAACTGAAGTTAAAATGATGCTAAAAACCCCGAAATGTTAATATTTACGGAGTTATGAGCGTTTTAAAATAGCCTATTTTTCCTCTTTCAATAACTGCAGTTAAAATGATGCTAAAAACCCCGAAATGTTAATATTTACGGAGTTATGAGCGTTTTAAAATAGCCTATTTTTCTTCTTTTAATAACTGCAGTTAAAATGATGCTAAAAACCCCGAAATGTTAATATTTACGGAGTTATGAGCGTTTTAAAATAGCCTATTTTTCCTCTTTCAATAACTGCGATTAAAATGATGCTAAAAACCCCGAAATGTTAATATTTACGGAGTTATGAGCGTTTTAAAATAGCCTATTTTTCCTCTTTCAATAACTGCGATTAAAATGATGCTAAAAACCCCGAAATGTTAATATTTACGGAGTTATGAGCGTTTTAAAATAGCCTATTTTTCCTCTTTCAATAACTGCAGTTAAAATGATGCTAAAAACCCCGAAATGTTAATATTTACGGAGTTATGAGCGTTTTAAAATAGCCTATTTTTCCTCTTTCAATAACTGCGATTAAAATGATGCTAAAAACCCCGAAATGTTAATATTTACGGAGTTATGAGCGTTTTAAAATAGCCTATTTTTCCTCTTTCAATAACTGCAGTTAAAATGATGCTAAAAACCCCGAAATGTTAATATTTACGGAGTTATGAGCGTTTTAAAA